CAGCACAGAAAATTATATGGAACAAAGAAATCAACACCATGAGAAAGCACATAACAAAAATGACACAACAAATTAATATTTGCCGATAACTACATATCTGACAAGGGACTTATCTCTGAGATTTATAGCAGAAGAGTGGATGACCAACCTAGGGGACATACACATAATGGAATGCTATGCAGCACTAAAGAATAATATATAGTCTGCAGAATACCGAATAATATGGATGGACTTGGAGGACATTATGCTGAGTGAAATAAGTCAATCACAGAAGGACAAATATAAGTTCATTGTTGTGGAGGGTCAAGTAAAGGTTTGTATATAGAGGAAAACTTTCTTTGTTGGTTGCCAGGGGTGGGAGGGGAGAGAACCCTGCAAAAAAACAAAAAAAAAATTGCATTGACCCATGTCATTTTAGTTTTGTTGTGTATTTCACTGTACATAAATTATATTTCAATAAAATGCATTTTAAAAATTAAATGACAAGGCGAAGCTCAAAAATGGTGGTTTCCACAACCAGTCCTAGAGACTGGTACACCGTCCGATCTGCAACCTATACAACTATGAGACCAGAAGAACTAGATGGTGCCCAGCTACCACTGCCATCCACTTGGAAGGGATGTTATGTAGGAGATCCTGGATAGAGAGGGAGAACAATGTGGTACAAAACTCAAAATCATTTGGAGGGAAAAAAAAAAAGAAGGTGGGGACCAGGTTTGCTGGTCCAATGGAGCCTGGTGTAACCACTGAGACTATGGCCCCTAGCTGCTCTTCAGGTCTGGAATTGAACCCACAACTGTGGTTTCCAGCCAAACAAAGTACAGGCATGTGAGTTAAACATTTACCTCAAGTAGACACACGCCCTGGAGAGAACACTCATGGGAGAAGGAAGGGCTGCTTATGCACAGGGAGATAGCTCAGGGTACAGAAGAGTATGAAGGGATGGACACTGGGAGGAGGTAACTATGGGGAGGAAGTGGGAGGGGAGCTGCTGCATTGTAAATTTTGGTCAATGTCATGAGACAAAGTATATGTGAACTGCTGTATGAAAAGTGAATTTACTCTGTAAATCTTCACCCAAATCCTAAAAAAAAAAAAAAAAAAAAAATGGTGGTTTCTAATGTAATGGAAGATAAAGTGTTAATATCCTCACTATAGAAAGAGCACTAATAAATCAATGAAAAGATAGTCATTGCAGTAGAAAAACGGACAAAATATGAAAAAATTCCCAGAAGAATATAAATATAAAATGGTCCATGAATGAAACTTAAACATACCATCATTAACAAGATCATGCTTTATGCCTCTTGAGTTGGTGATATCAGAGAATACTCGGTGATGGGGAGGACTGTCCCGGAAGCTGACAGCCTTTCTGAAGTGCAGCCTAACTGTGCATCAGGATCACGTGAACAAGTGCCTGGCTCTTACCTGTCCAGGACACACTGTTCCCAGAAGCATCTGGCAAGGACCTTCATCACAGCACCTGGTGGGCTTCAAAACAAAAACTTAGATACAGCTGTGGGCCACGGTGAGGCAGGAGGATGTGTCGGTTCTCAGACGTGCCCGTTACGTGACGTGTGTTTACAGACAGGGAAGCATGTCCCTTGCTAAGGGAATGAGGCAGGAACTGTGTGTGACCATGTGCCTGGAAATGCCCACTGCTTTTCTATAGGCCATCGGTCCACATCAGAATTGCACCGGTTTTTTATTTAGGTCACCTCTGCTTTCAAAACTTCTATCGAGAATACAAGCTATCTATGAAGTTACAAGTTGTGTGTTCTACCTTGTGAGTGGGGCGCCTGTGTGCCGTGAACGATGGAGGGTTTTGTCAGTTCATTCTTGAATAGTTGATACGTGTGGTGCAACAAACTGGGTCCATTCATGCCTCACCCGTCCAGTCACCCATCCAGGGTCCTATCCCCAAGGCAAGGGGCAAGCAGACCATGCTGCCCATAAACTGCACCAGGAATATGGCTGTGATGAAGGAGAGAGGCTGGGAGGGCCATCCTGGGTAACGTCTGAGCAGCCAGAACAAGAGCGAGAAGACTTTCGGGCAGGGAGGGCCCTGAGGTGCGGCTGTGAGGAGCAGGGGCTCACGGGCCACTGAGCCCAGTGCAGCCAGGCAGCGCGTGGGTCGGCACACGAGGAGAGGAGGCCTGGCAACCCGGGGCTTTGGGGGCCGAGCAGCCCGTGGGGCTGCGGGGAGGGCTTTTTCTGTGCTGCAGCGCTTGCAGATAGGATTGGAGAGGTAACTGGTGGGACCAGACTGCACACCAGCTGCTGCCTCATCCCCTCCTTACCAGCTGCGCTACCTTGGGAAAGTCAGGCCGTCTTGAGCCTCCATTTCATCATTTCTCAAACGGGACCCTACCGGCTCTGTCTCACGGGGCGGCCGCTGTTACACAAGGTTAAGCGTGAAGAATGTGCAGACGAGCCCAGTGTTTGCTGGGTCCCTTCAAAGTGCTTTGTTGAACAGTTGGGGCTGACACTGTTTGCCGCCCTTACATGGCGCCTTCCGAATGTCTGCTGTGCGCTGTTACGCTCAGACAGGAGGCTCAGGCTTTCGTTCCAGTGTTACGTTTGTCAATTACTCACTTTCCTAATTTGGGGCGAGAGAGGGTTTAAGAATAATTATTTAAAAATTATTTTGTGATTCAGTATTTCATTCTGGCCCCTTGACTTGAGTACTTTTGATGAACATTTTAGGTGAAGGTTTCTCTCATTTGGAAAGTTTTTTTGGCTGTGCTTCATTAGAGAGACCATGTTATCACAAGCAGTAAAGTGTTAATTTTGTTACACTTCATTTCTGTATGGATGATTTCAAACATACACGAAATCAGACCATAGTCTATAGTGACTGTACACACGCACACTGCACATGCTCACACATGCACACACACGTATACACATCCCCCAGCTTCACTGATTAACCCCAAGACTAACTTTCCTCCACATAGCTCAGTCACACATGCCCCTGGAAGCCCGCCCCCAGAGTACTTGAAGTAAAGCCCCACCAGGATTACTTTTTAGCTGTAGATAGTTTAGTATGTATCTCTTGGAAATGGGGACTGTAAAATGGCTCGTACTGACTACTTACACGATGTGTTTTTAGTCCCCTGTGTTGCATCTGGTTTCTAGGAGGTTGTTGGAAACTTGAATAAAAATGTGTAACACTGTCAGATCCATACTCAAATGAAACCTGTCATTTTTCTCCTTTTGATTTTGACTTAACAGAGTATCTCTCTCCTACACCCCATCTCCCATCATGCGATGTGCTGTGGGGCTCGAGTAGTGGTTGAGAAAGGAAGGTTCTATTCCAAGAACTCCTTTCACTCATTGATGGGTTTGGAACATGAAATGGGAAAAACGGGACAGCCTCTGGGACCAGCTGGGCTCATCTGTCAATGGGCCCCGGAACTGGAGCTACAGGTGTCGCTCACCATGTTCTAGAAGCTTCCTGTGTTTTCCCTGTTGTTGCTGGTGCTGGTTCCCAGCAACCCCGTGAACGGCAGAAGCAGACAATGCCAGTACCACACCACACTCGCACTCATTCCTGTGCTTGAGCCCATTGTCACAACCACTGAGTCAGTCCGTTTTACCTAGAACCCATTTTCCTTTCACATTCAGCTGCTTTGCAAGGCATTTAAAATTTCCCTTCCTTGTAGTTTACTTGACAACCACGTTTTGAAAGTAGAATATCTCTTTAAGCTCTGTTAGCAGTTGTTAAGAGCCATTTACCCGCATTTAAAGAGAGGGCTCTGTGAGCCCTTGTTGACTTGGATGGGACAGGAAGGGATGTTCTTCTTGGGGCTTTGTCTCAACTCCTACATAAAAATCTCCAAGTATCCTAGGGGAGAAAAAGTGAACCACCAAAACTTTTGTAATTGTGAGCTTAAGAAATTCTTAGAGATGTGCAAGTAGACGACCCTGACACCTGGCACAAAGTTGGCACCCTATAGAATATGTGCTGGGCAGGTTCTGTCATTTTCCTTGTAAGAAAGGACTTTATTATATCACCAGGATCTTTTAAGATGCCTTTTTATAGTGGAAGGAGCTCTGGTGGCGTAGTGGGAAAGGCTGTTAACTGGAAGATAAGCAATTCAAACCCACCAGCTGCTCCAAGGGAGAAGGGTGAGGCAGTCTCCGTCTGTGAAGATTTGCATCCTTGGGAACCCGACGGGGGTCGCTATGAGTAGGACTCGACTTGATGGCAGTGAGTTTGGTTCGGTTTTTTTTAGTGGAGTCACACCATAGGCCTACTTAACAGATAGGCTGAGTTTCCTCCACCTACAAAAGGGAAAAAGTGGAATTGACCATTTTAAAATGCCAGTGGTCCCACCATGCCCCAGAGGGTGAGTCCCGGTGCAGTCTCAGTGTAGCCCCGACATGGACACTGTTGCCACGTGGTTCTCTCTGTCAGCCGGGTTTGCTGCAGTTCAGTGAGGACAACCCCGTGAGTTTGGGTGGGTGTGTCCTGTGCAGCCCTGACATGGGTACTGTCACCATGCCGTTCCCCCGGTTTGGTATGGCTCACTGGGGACATCTCCATGACCATGAGCGGCTGTGTCCTGTGCAGCCCTGACATGGGCACTATCACCATGTGGTTCCCTCTGTCAGCCCAGTTTGGTGTGGCTCTCTGACGGTGTCCCCCGTGAGCATGGGGGGCGTGTCCTGTGCAGCCCTGACACGGATACTGTTGCCATGCGGTTCTCTGTCAGCCCACTTTGGTGTGGCTCTCTGAGGGCATCCCCCATGAGCATGGGCTGGTGGTCATCACAGCAGCTTACTATCCACGTGATAGGCTGGAATGGGCACATGTGACCGGCTCTACTGGCTAGTGGCAGAGCCCCTCCTGCGTGCGGTTCGGCTCCGACCTAGGCTGTCCCCTCCCTGTGGGTGGTGCCCTGCAAATCCTGTGGACAGGAGCCCTGTAAGCATGTCTGCTCTCTCTTCTGATAGTTTTCCTTAAAACGTGTCCCATTTTGGCCTTTTCTCAATAGCATCCTTTGCGCCAATAAGCTTTGCAATCAAGGCCAAAGAGAACGACCTGCTTCCCCTGGAAAAGAACCGTGTCAAACTGGATGACGACAGTGATGAAGATGAAGAAGGCAGGGAGGGCCAGGAGAGCTGCAGCAGCGTCACCAGTGCGAACCCGGCCGTCGTCACACCCTGTGTGGTTGTGGAGGAAAAGAAACCACCTCTTACCCAGGAGGAGCTGGAAGCAAAACAAGGTTTGTGGGCATGTTTTACCTTCTCGAAAGAAAGTGCGTAAGCCAGGCTCCGCCTTCCCGAGCCGGGAGTGCTGGTGCTGTACGTTATCCCCGGTGTCTGGCAGTCAGACCCGCCTGGCTGTGCTGTGGCTTTGAGCACCAGGAGAGCTCTCTGCTGGAGCAAGGAGTGATTTCTTCATTAGAGCACAGCCACACTGGCTGCACCAGCCCGGCAGCCGCGGCAGAGCCCACTAACACAGAGCCAGTCTGCACTTGGATTACAGCCAGGGTGAAGCACTCGGCCTCCATCCCTGCTCATGCTAATTCACAAGGCAAGGAGCCATCCTCTGTGAGCCCCCGGCCCTGAGACACATGCCCAGCTGACTCTCATGCCATGATCCCACCACGTGCATCGTGGCCTTGGCACACATGTCTACCGCAGCCAGGGTCTGGGACAGCCCGAGTCTCCACCCCGGCCCAGGACAGGATTACGCTCTGCATCACACGGCTCGTTGATGGGCCAGTTGGGTTTTACCTGTTGGGATGATTGTCTAAGATTGCTTCCTTTGTACTTAAAAACATATCAAGCCAGATTTAGAGAAGATGCTTTCCTACCGCAGCGTGCCCTACTCTCCAGAGCTGGCTTCGTGCTAGGGTTGCTCCCCACAGCAAGCGCGTCTTTGTCTGTGTGCGTCTGCAGCCTCGATTACTGTGTGTGGACTCAGCACCTGTCAGAGCATGTGGCGCGAAACACTTTTCATAGGGTATCCGTTGCTTGGTGTGAATATTTGGACATGTGTGTGTAGATGAGCGCCGTCCTGACGGTCTCCATTATTCCAGCTTCCACTAGTCTGGACTTCTCACCGTTGAAAGTAACATTTGGAAAAATAAACATTATAAACTGATTCCCTCAAAATCTACTTGCTGATTTGTTTCCCTGTCTGAATTTTGTGCCACAGTCTCTGTTTTCAGTAACTGCGTTGTGTTTCATAACTTTTTTGCTGCCTGTAAAAATTAAGGCGGATGATAACAAATATCGCTTGCTCTAAACTTCATCTTTTGTCGTTTGTGCCTTAAGCAAAGCAAAAGCTGGAGGACCGGCTCGCCGCTGCCGCCAGGGAGAAGCTCGCCCAGGCCTCAAAGGAGTCAAAGGAGAAGCAGCTCCAAGCAGAGCGTAAAAGGAAAGCAGCTTTGTTTTTACAAACCTTAAAAAACCCTCTGACAGAAGCAGAAGCTGGCAGGATTGAGGAGAGCCCATTCCCTGTGGAGGTAAGTCAAGGAGATCGCCCCCCACCTGCTGGGCGGCGTGACCCTGGAAGCACAGCTAGAGCTGCCAGCATGGGGGACACCCACATGCGGGGGCTGCAGACTGTACCTACCACCCTGTCTGAGAGTCGGTGACACGTGCACCACTGTGAGCTCAGTTGAGGGAATCCCAGGCCCCACGTTAGGGGTCAGTGCTCGGTGCAGAACCTCACAGGACTGAGGAGAGCCCATTAGACAGCGCCCTCGCATATGTGCATTGTGGCCTGGCGGGCCTACTCGGGTTTGGGTGTATAGACCCAGAATTAGACTGGCTAAGGGGGCGTGGCTTTCTCTTTCTCTTTATGTAAGAGCAGTTAAAGCAGTCGTTTTTAAAAATTGTCAGCCTAATCTTTTTTATAAAAGTGTCACCTCAGGAATTCTTTTGAAAAGTTTCAGACCTTCAGAAAATGGACAGAAAAGAACAGAACACCAGTGTGTCCTCTCCAAGTAGCACATACTCAGGCCTGCATGTGTGCACATGCGTGGGCTTCTGCTCACACACACTTGTATTTGCACAGATGTGCCCACATGTGGTCTAGTGTGTTTTCCCCAAAGACCATGTGGCAGTCAGTTGCAGACACCCTGATCCTCTCCCTAGATTTTTCAATACGGATCTACTACGATCAGGTACACTCTGCTGAGTGACCACCGTGCCATTGTCACAGAAAGGGGACACCGACACCACGTCATCTGATGTTCCGTGTTCACGTTCCCCAAAGTGTCGTCTGTAGCAGGACGTCCCTTTAGTACAGAAAATGCCTTTGGCTCTTAGGACTTTGGAGCCCAAGGCCGTTGTTCAGGACTCGTCTTTGCTGAATGTGGCAGTGGTTCACCTGTGTTTCTGAGGAGAGCGGTGTTCAGGTGTCAGACAGGTAGCATCCGACTTAAGGCAAAGTTAGTGTTCTTCACACACAACTCCACGTGAAGTTTTCTCAGATCTGACAGGGAGCCCTTGAAAGTAACAGCTGACCCCTGAACTGCATAGAGGAGAGCAGCGAATATGTTTCATGGGATCTTGTCCAACAGTGGGATGTAGCCTGGCGGGTTGAGGCCTGCCACCCCCTCAGGTTTTTCAGGCCACAGAGGTCAGCATCAGCTCTGACGCTGCTGATGGCCCTGCCCCTAAACTGTCCTGTGTAACGCTGGGCTCCGCAGTGGGTGTGGCCCCAGCCGTGACAGCAGTCGCTCCCGCTCTGTGGCTCTCAGGAGACAGCCGCCTGAGTGAGGGCTTCCATCGCGTCCTCCTCTGGCTTTTTGCCTCAGCCAGTTACAGTCAGAGCAGGAAGGTGCAGAGGGCTCGGGCTTACCTCAGCTTTGAGGAGACTACTGCAAAAATAAGGGCACAAAATCCGTAGCAACTAGAAATGATCACGAAGACGACTGTGACCACAGACAAATGCTATTACAGAATAAGGGGGAGGAGAGTAGAAAATGCCTCTGCGTTAATGGCTGCAAGTGTGCAAAGTCTGTACAGTGACGCAGGGAGGAGGCTGTAAGGTGGAAGGGAAGGGCTGCAGTGGGAGGAATGTGGCTGGTTTGTTTGGCTTCTGTTACTGTTATGATGTCATTTAAATGTACAGTGACTAAAGGCTTTAATTAAGGGACATCTGCAAGTAACTGGTTATATTACGTATTACAGCTCTGTCTTCTAATGAAATTGTGTGTTAATGAAAATTCGGTCACAGCAAGAACCGTTCATCGTTAATCCCACTTCTTCCCCATCTGCCGCAGGGCTTGGTTGTCGCCCAGCGCTCCTTCCTGTGAGCACACGCTGCGCCCCCACTTCCTACCTGCCTTCTGCCCACCTCCGCACACAGCTGCTCCCACCCGTCCTGTATTCAGGGACTGCTTTTGATTTGGTAACACACAGAATGGGTTTATGCGGCCTTTTAAAATCAGGTGGATAATTTATCTGGATATATAATGGTGCAGACTGTAGCTACATCAGCTATTTCAACAAAAATGTAATGTTAGCAGATGTCTCTAATTGCTTTTGAGCAAAAATACTTGTAATTCAATTGACAGTTGTCATAAATACAATTCATACTCCAAAATTCTTAACCTAAAGCAACTCTTGGGGACATGCTGCCTTTAGTGGAGCACCCTAATATGCACTATACTCACAGAGTTTGGTGCTGTGGCCAAAGTGCCCAAATGTGGAGGGTTTGGAGTTCAGGAACACCTGTGGCATCACCCAGCTTGGTGACATTGTCCGGCCTGGCTGCCCTGTGCTCTGGATGCAGGAACCCTGCAAGGCTGAGGAGTGAGTGCCCCTTCTGACTGACATTTCCAGAAGATGCCTCATTGTGTTCCTGCTCTGCTGGCCCGAACTATACACAGGCAGCGTAAGTGCTCTTGCAAGGAGGCCAGATACAGAATTTACCTTTTTTATACCTTCAAGGTTCCTGAAAACAGCCAGAGCGTGCTTTAGTTTTTCTGAAAGAAGCTTATACTTATGCTTAAAAAACTCATCATACTCTCTGATTTCAAAACATACTACAAAGCTACAGTGATCAAAACAGCCTAGCATTAGTACAATGATAAGACTTACGGAATAATAGAATAGAATTGAGAATCCATGCATCTATGGTCAACTGATTTTTGACAAAGGAATGAAGTCCATTCAGTGGGGAAGGCTGGGTTTCTAAAACAAATGGTGTGGGGACAACTGGATCTCCACATGTAGAGATGAAGCTGGACCCCCTGCCTAACACCATATATGAAAATCCATCAAAATGGATTGAAGACCTAAATGTGAGGAGTAAAACCATAAAACTAGAAGAAACCATAGGGTTAATGCTTTGAGAACTGTTTTTTAACAGTGGGTTCTTAGACATGACACCAAAAGTACAAGCAACAAAAGACAAAATAGGGAAACTGGCTTTCATCAGAATGAAAAACTTCTGTGCATCAGAGGACTTTGTCAACAAAGTGGAGAGACAACATGCAAAATGGGAGAAAATTTAGGGCAATCATGTATGGTTCTAATATCCTGAATATATAAAGAGTACCTACACAACCATATATCAAAGAGACAGCGCAGTTAGCAAATAGGCAGAAAACTGGAAGAGACGTTTCACCAAAGAGGATATACGAGTGGCCATCAAACACATGCAAAGAAGGGGACATCAAGCTCAATTGACGTAACATACTACACTAAAACGTGGCTCTGCATCCAACTTCAGTGAGTAGTGACTGGGTCTTAAAAGCTTGCAAGCAGTTATCTAGATGCAACAATGGGTCTCCCCTTATCCAGAGCAAAGAAGAAAACCAAAGACACATGGATCCTCAGCCTATATAACCATGAGACAAGAAGACTAGATGGTACCTGGCTACCACTGTCAACCAGTTGGGGATCAGTGCAGGAGATCCTGGCTAGAGTGGGAGAACAATGTGGAACAAAACTCAAAATTGTACATGGAAAAAAAAGACCAGATTTGCTGGTCTGATAGAGCCTTGGTGAGACCCCTGAGACTATGGCCTCTAGTTACCTCAGGTCTAGACTTGAACTCAGTCTTGTGGCTTCCAGGCAAACGATAGGCATGTGCGATGAACATTTACATCAGGTGGATACACTCCTTGGAGCAACCAGTCATGGGAGAACAGAAGGGCAGTGTTTGCGCAGGGAGATAGCTCTGGAGGTGGGAGTGTATGGGAAGTGAGGACACAGAGAAGAGGTGACGACTGGGAGAAAATAGGAAGAGAGCTGTTACACTGTGGGGAGTTGCAGTCAATATCGAGACAAAATGTGTTTGAACTGCTGTATGGAAAATGAATTTGCTCTGTAAACTTTCACCTAAATCACAATAAAAAATATTTTTTTAAAAAAAGTGAAGATATTTAATGTCCTTAGGGATATGCAAACCAAAACCACTGTGAGATACCACTTCACCTCTGCTAAAATGGCTATGATAAAATAAAAGTAGTAATAAGTGCTGTCAAGGATATGTGGAAACGAACCCTCATCCATTGCTGGTGGGAATGGAAGGTGGTGCCGCCGCTGTGGGAAACAGTATGTGTTTCCTCAAAAAGTGAAACAGAACTACCTGGTAACCCAGCACCCCAATCCTGGATGTGCACCCCAAAACATGAAAGCAGGGCCACAGACAGAAACCCATAGGACACCAGCATTCATTTCAGCGTGCCTTATGCTAACCAGTGTGTTCAAGGTATTCGTTGACAGATGACGATGAAGAAAACGTGGTACGCACAGTGGGAGATGACTCAGCCATCAAGAGAGGAAGTTCTGGTACACACTACAACAGGGAGGAACCTGCGTGAAATAAGTCAGACACACAAAGTCAGACACAAAGGGACAAGTACTGTACCCACCCCGTTCCCATGCAGTAGACCAATGTGTATCACTGGCTGTTAGGTGGCAGGGGAAAGGGGGGCCTTGCTGAAGGGTGTCAGTGTCTATAGTGGGGTGCGTTTGCAACATACCGAACATGGCCCGTGTCACTGAGTTGTGCATGCGAGGGACTTGAATTAGCAGGTGGTTGCTAGAAATATTTTAACCACAGTAAAACAAAACAACCAGGGCCTGAAACTCCTGAGCATAGTGACCAAAGGTGACCAGATCAGGTGGGCTACCTCTGTGTGTGTTCTGTTTCTCCATAAAACACTGTTTCCTGGAATAAAGTCCAGATCCAGGCGAAAGGCATGCAGTGCAGTAGCGGTGTCTCCTGACCTCTTTCCCAGAGAAAGCGCTTTCCGCCAGGCCTCTGGCAGGGCACGTCTGCGTTTACCCCACGGGGCTCTGAACCTCCTGCTCAAGGCCCACAGCAGAGGCGTGAGTCTGGCGTCTGCCCCCTGCTGCACATGGAGCTCCTTTCTGGTCGAAGGTCACAGAGGTGCAGGGTGGCAGGGGTGCCCACTTCCCATGGTGAAGACTTGGGTGGGAGCTCTGGCAGCGTAGTGCCAGAGGCATTCAGCTGCTAACCAGAAGGCTGGCGGTTCAAACC